GGCTTTGACTTTTGCCGCAGACAGCTTAGGGAACATGTCTTAAAAGTATTTGAAGGCTGCAGGCTCCTTATCTAGAGCGGGGACAAATTGTTTCATAAGGCTCAATTTAAATGCAGTGGAGGAAACAATACTTTCCGAGTGTTCAACAGTGGTTCCCATTTGACGTTGTTATTCCCCACACTGAAATCGGTGGCTCAGCATTGGACTTTGTGAGACCAAGATCTCTGATCAAATCGTTGAGGTCGTTTTGGTTGGGGTAGTATGGGTTTCTCTCCTCAGCTGCGCCTCTGTAATCTCTATTAATAACTTCATCCTCTTCTGAATTGTTGTTCTCTTGTGAAGACAGGGGTGAGTACGGGGAACACAAGGCAATGTGGCACTGGGGAGATGGATGACAGAAGGTCTGGATCATGGCGTTCTAACAGGCTTCTGCGTAGCGCTGCTACCTTGATAAATTCAAAGGAATCTTTTAATTTTACCTTTGCTTGGAATATCATTCATTTAACTTATTTATTTGAAGTAAGTATATTTGATTATTTTAGTTTGAGTCCATACATTATTTATGATTATTTTAATTTAAATTGTAAAAAGTAAACTTTGGTGCTTAAATTTACTCGCACAAAAAGATTTATTACTTTAAGTTTAAAAAGCCTTAACATTTTTAAATTAAAGTTTAATTAATTTTTGGCATTTTTCCTCTTAAAGTTTGTTCAACATTTTTTGATTAAAGTTTAAAGAATTATTTATTGATAAAATGCAATTCTTTTTTTTTTGATTTTGAGTAATTTCTGTTAAAGCAAAACAAAACGTTTAACAAATTTGAACAGAATTTAATTTAGTTTCTTCAAAGACGTAAACTATTTTTATTATAAAATGAATTAAAAATGTTTTGATTTTTTTCATAAATTCAATGTCATTACTTAATTTGATATTTATTTTTGATATCGCTAAAAAAAACATTGTTATGAGTGAAAGTGAAAAAAACATAACGTCAACGAAATTAAAGTTTAATTTTCTCAAGTTTTTAACCATGATAAAAAATTAGCATAAGTCAACATTTTTCTATTAAAAGTTTAAGTTTGAATAATAAATTTGAATAAAGTTTTAATAGAGAAAGGTTCATTAACATTTCTCGATTAAAACTTTATCCAACATTTCCATTAAAAGTAAAACTAAGTAAAAAAAAAAACAAAACAAAACAAACGAATTTCTTCGCGCTTTTGTTTCCGAAGTTAAAAGAATAAATGATTATTTTTACTACATTAGTTACCAATTGGTGAACTGTAAGTATTTTTTTTTACTTATTAGAATTAAAGAAAAAAATAACAATAATAAAAATTTATTACATACAATGTCAATACTTTTTTAATTATTTTTTTTTTAGAAAGGTCTCCTTTTTTATGCCTTTTGTTTTGACTACAAAATTTATTTTACAAGACAAGTATAATAATACCATTTTATTTATATTATATTTATTTTAATATTTTTCTGATATTGTTGTTAAAGAACAAAAAAATGCATTATTTTACTTTACTTTTTTTGCTTTAAGGTAAAAAAAATGTTATTCCTATTTATATAGTTTAGCGTATTAAAATAACCAAACTAAAGGAAAGGCTATTTTTATGAATATTTTTAAATTTAATATAAAGTTTTAAAGTAAACAACATTGGCCTTCAAATTTTGATACCATAAAAGTTTAATGGAAAAATACGTCCAAAAAATCCACCATCTGTATGGCCAGGTGTGCCAAGTAGTCAAATACCAACACCCTCACCTGTTCAAAGAATATAAAAAAAAAAAACCTCCAGTACTGTTAGAAATCAAATTGCTGATGAAATTAATTCTTTTTTAGAATTAGATAAAATTATACAAATTTGAAAGAAAGTCTGCTTAACAAAATAAATGTCCAGTTGTAGCATTTTTGGATGAAAATATTTTAAGTTAAAATTTTTAACTGTTCAATTATCAAAATCTATTGATGGTATTCCTCTCTTTATGTTGAAAATTTATAACAATTTGCACTTTGAAACATTTCATTATGGAGTTAAGTGTTATATTAGCAGCCTGTCCAAAAATCATATAAATACAGTTGATGCTTGGTCAAAACTGGAAGAAATCATCCGATATTTAAATTCTATGGCTTTTGATCACAAGAAAAATATCCTGAGTCAACAATTTTTAGCAATGGCTTCCAAAATGGTTGGAATAAAATACAGCTCAGATATAGTTGTGCATGCTTTTGGGTACTATGCAAGATCGTGGACATTATGAATTAAGATATGATTTTCAATTACCCTCATTAGCAATATTATAAAGTCAAAAGTTTCAAAACTTAATGAAAAATTTTTTTTGTTATCTATATTTGATACTCTTAATACCAGTCAAAAATGGTGCATAATTCTCCATGATGAAGTATATATCAAAAAGATGTTGCTATATCATGGCAAACAACTATTTGGTAAATCAGTTGACAATCCATCTGTACTTGCTCAAACAGTACTTGGTATAATGTTGATATGTCTCAATGGTGGTCCAAATTTTCTTACAAAATTGATTCCAATTTCAAAATTAACATCCATCTTTTTATTTGAACAAATTAACAGTCCAAGCCATCACATCTGTACCAGCTGATGTAAAGGCTATTATATGTGATGGCAACCGCATAAATCAAGCTTTTTTTAGATTATATCCTACACTTCCTGAAAAACCTTGGTTAACTGAAGATAATAAACATTTGCTTTTTGATTATGTTCATCTGTTGAAAAATATTCGCAATTTGTGGCTGACAGAAAAAACAGGAGAACTAATCTTTGATGATGATGCAGTAAGTCGAGTTGCAAAATGGACACATCTTAAACAGTTATATCGTTTTGAATCTGAAAGACTAGTCAAACTTTCAGATTTAAATGAAATTTCCATTGCTCCAAAGCCAATAGAAAGACAACGGGTTTCTACTTGCCTCAGAGTGTTTTTCTGAAAAACATATAATGCACTTCTCACTCAGTCTGAAATAAGTGCAGGTAAGAATGATACTGCCCTCTTCATAAACAAGGTTTTGACATGGTGGAAAATTTTGAATGTTAAATACCTTCAAATTGATAAATTACATAATGATCCTCTACAAGCTGAAATCAAATCTCCAAATGACACCGACTTGATTTTATCATTGAATTTGGTAAAATGGCTCTTAGTATATGGCTGGCAGTCAAGGTAATCGTAAAAAACAATTATCCCAAAACACTGCTACTGCCATACATCATGCAATGGAATTGTTAATCTATGTCGACACCTTTTAGCTACAAGTCATAAATATGTACTACTTGGGCAATTTTCAACTGATCTATTAGAAAAAGAATTTGGTAAACTTTGCCAAAGATCAGGTGGCACCTATTTTATAAATGTTCAACAATGTATTGAAAAGCTGCATATTAAGCAGACATCTTTACTTTTAAATCAAAATGTAAATATTGATGAATTTGATGTTAATCCAGGTCACCAATGTACATCTTGTGATTATAAACTTTGTGAAGAAGGTTCAGAAATATTTGACAATCTGGAAAATTTAGAACCATCTCTTTCCAATGAAATAAAATGGCTCTTGTGTACATAGATGGATATATTACAAGAAATGATAATCAACCCAGTGAATGTGAAACCCATTTTTTATTATGAAAAGTATGGAAAATATACCAATTTAATTGACCGTGGAAAACTAAAAGTTCCTTCTGACCACACTTGTCAATGGTTATTTTTTTGTTTCATCCTTTTCCATAAAATAAAGGAAAAGGTTTGCTATAAATCATTAAGTAACATTTTTATGCTTATTTCTGAGTTTCATTTTTTCAACAGGGAGAAAAAGCATGCTTCTTTTTTTGCAAATATAGTTTTGAAAAATTTTTGCAAACATGGCACACCTAGATCAGAAAAAGAACCAGCTCTAAAAGTTTTGAAACTTTCCTAGAATGATTTTGTTTTATTTGTCTATATTTCTGTGATGATTGATTGTTATATACACACTTCAGCTGATGTCTTCCAGCCATCTTGGGTTCTGTTTGTCAAACCCAGTAACTGTAATGTAAATTTAAACCAAAGTCTTTATTCACTCACAGGGAATAGATTGACTAAAGGATTCAGTGACACCTGTAAATAATATAAATTTCTGATTCTATATATCTTTTACCAGAAATCATAATTACCCCTTTGTGTTGTTTAATAATTATCAGTGTTCATAGCAAAAATACATATTTTCATTTATTTATCTTTCAACACATCCTATTATCCTCAGGTGTGAATAAAAATGTTATTCTAAGTATTTCATAAAGTGGTTGACTTCATTTTCTTCTAAAATTTCTGAAAATCTACATTTTTCAATAGGCCTCCAGTTCTGGCTCTCAGTTGTGCCATGACTTGGCCTGGAGTATAGAATACCATGGTCTGGATATATATGCATTCTTGCCAACTCGATGTTTGAAGGGCCCACTATGCAGAAGAAACAATTCTTTGACTGGTCAGTTTGTTCCCGCTAAATTCATGGGATTGTGAATTCTATGTCTCTATTTTCCCCTTTGTCCAGGTCACAAAAGCACAGTTTGAAGGGAATAACAGTCGTTTCCTTTGCTTTCTAGACAGAAACAATTAGAAAATAACATTTACTGACCAAAGACAAAAAAGTCAATTAGAAATTAACACTTAGAGACCAAAGACAAAAAAAAGTCAAAATTTTGTTGCATAGTATTTATTATAATTTACATACTAAATAATTGATTGATTGCTTTGTTTTCTATGGTTAAGCCAAAAAATATGATTTTTAGATTGTAAGATTTTTCTTTTTAGATAGTGATGATTTAATGATACCAATCTTATTAATTAACCCATATCTGGGATGAGAAGAGATGAGTTCATTCACTTCCCAAGGATATTTGTGCATAAGTGAATAACGAGCCCAACTGGAATTAGAACTCGGTTCTTTGATTAACAATTACATTACCCGCACATCCAAGCTTACATCATCAGGTATTCCCAAATGGTCACCCATCTAGGTACTGATCAGGATTGACGTTTCTTGCTTAACTTCGGTGATTATGCGGGAACCGGTGCTTGAACGTGATATGGCCGTAAGCCAATATGCTAAATAAATTTCCAGGAATTGTGGTAAAACTTAAAACTGCAATTTGTTTATATTTTTATGACAAAGGCTTTGTATGTGTGTAACTTGAGTTTTGTTGTAGTACCTTTTCTCAATAAATAATCTTATTATATGAAATGCTCATAAAATGAACTAAAAACGTTAATACATTTTAGTAATATTCTCAGTTTACAGGAAGTACAAGCTTATTAGAGCTGCTAGTATGTAGTTTCACTTTGTAGTTGAGTCTTTTGATCTCTAGCCACTTCATTTTCTACCTTTAGCAAAAGGGGTCTTTTGGCGTAGATTTGGCAGCTGTATGTAAAAATCATATCTGCCTGCTCACGATATGAATATCTTGCCATTTTTAAATGGAATACTACTCAGTTAACTCACAATAACACACTTTAAATGTTGAAGACAGACTAGCCACAAATGTACACGAATGACAAATGTAATCTCGTCTACATGGCAATACAGCGCCATCTACCATAAACTTTCTTTAAACTTAATAACTCAAAAATGAAAGGATTTGTGGACATATGTTTATATGGACTTTTGTCCATGTTTTTTGTGTGGGAAACCTGCCCCCATTGTTTGTAAATGTATTTCTGACACACCTTATATATATATATATATATATATATATATATATATATATATATATATATTATATAAAACAGTTATTGGTCAGAGTTAAATTATACCAGGAGACAGTTGTATTAAAAAGTGCTCAATAGACATATAAAGAAAATAAAAAAATTAACCTGCAGAGCTTTTAAATTTAAAAATCAGCTAATCATGCTACCTTGGTTTCAACCTTTTGGTATCTTCATGCTTGAGGATACGGAAAGGTTGAAACCAAAGGTAAGCTTGATTGGCTGATCACCAAATCTTATATATTATATATATATATATATATATACACACACACACACACACATATATATATATATATATATATATATATATATATAAATATATATAAAAAAATTATTACATTTATTTTTAATCCAACATGTGTATGGGCTTTCAAGAAAAATAGCCATATATGTGTGTGCACATGCGTGTGTGCATATATGTTTTTACTAAGTTTGGATTTTACTGCACAAGACCGCTAGTGTGGGACATTCAGCAAATATCAAATTCACTACACAAACATGCTAGACTAATTTACCACACACCAAGGAACCATTTGTGACTATTTACAAAATATATATATATATATATATATATATATATATATATATATATATAAGTTGACACGCATGTGTGCTCATGCACACCCACACACACTTTCATATATACATGTGCACACACACATATATGCACGAACTATGATATACTACATCCTGGATAGGATTAGTCATTTACCTTGTGCATGGATCATATTTAGAAGGATTTAGAGGGTAGAATTTCTAGTCCCAGATCCTATTTTTTTTTCTTTTCAGCCATATTTGGGGAAGGGTCGAATTTTATTCCTGGCTTTAAATTTAGAGCTGCCTTCAGCTAAACTAGATGTTACCTAAGGCTAGAAGAGCCCAGTATACCTTATTATTTAATTCATAGCTGGTAAATGATTGAATTTAATTCCTGGTTATGAATTTCGAGTTGCTGTCTGCTAAACTAGTTGCCACCCAATTCTAGGGAACCCATTCTGGCCAGCTATTTTACATGTTGTCAGGGAAAGGTTGGATTCTACTACTGGCACTACAGAATCATAAACAAAGAACTGTACCAAATAACAGAAACCACATCACTAGAGAACTTTCACCAGCAAAAACAACTAAAATGGATAGCATATCTAACTCAAAGAGAAAATAATGACATAATCAAAATGTTGATGTTCCTCATTACTTTGAACAAAAGGTTAGGAAGAAAACCCCCATCAATACTGGAAAGGGTGATAACAGTTTATTTAAGAAACTTATTTTCCTGAAAAAGTATTTGAATAAAAATATTTTATAAATTTCAACTGAGGGTAACACTGGCTGCTCAGTCAATGAATGCTGAATGTTTCCTTATAAGGAAATGTTTATTATCATTACCATTATTGGGTAATATAGAAGAATTCTTTCTTGTTGTGCTTCTCCTAGACTAGGTGACAACCAAGACTAGAGAGCCCCTCAATCAGTTCTACAGTAAAGCTCATATTACATAAGTTTAATATAAACATGCTATCACTCTCTCTCTCCCCGTCTCTCTTTTTTCTAAAACAAATTCATTGATAGTTTTAACATTTATTGATAGTTTTGTGTTGAAGTAAGCTAATATAGTTGAGCTGTTACTTATTATAATTTTTTATTATTAGAAACTTCCAGTATTGAATGTAAATATACCAGATATGTATAAAAGTAACATTTAAATCTACAGATACACACTCATTTCAAAATGTAATTATATTTAATATATTTTTATGGTAGAAAATTTTACATTGTTATCAAAAATACATATTTTTTCCTTAAGATAGAAAATGTACCACTGAATAAGATTCACTATATTATTTTAATGTTTTATTCTATATTTAAATTTTTAAAATCATATATTCTCTGTGTGGTGTTATCCAAAATTAGTTATCTTGTTTTATGTCAACCAAAATGAAAAATATAGAAAAGATTGTATTTGATTACATATAAGAGCCACCCCCCACCCCCGTCCTCTATTTACATTTAATATTTCAGTATTATAAAATTAGGCTAGATATAAGTACTGGCAGTGTACAGTGCAAATGTTAGGTTATCAGATACCTTAACTTTTCATAAAAGACATGGCAGATATTTTTGGAGTCATTTTTGGAGCAGATATGCCAGAGAATTGGTAAAGTTAATAGATTTTCTGCTCATTTGCTAACTTTTCTAGACAGCAATACTCCATAAAATTATTTTTTAGAAAGTTTTAATAGTATGCTGCCTTTTTTTTATATTACAGTGAGAGTCACCCTTTACAAGTCCCAGGGGCCACTTGAGATAGAGGGTTATGTTAGACGGCCATTTGTGTGTATTGGTGAAGGAGATAACAATTAACCCTAGCCTTGAATAGGTTAAGATTGTAGTGATCAGGGAAACATCCCATCATAGGCTTGCAGATAATTAGTTTGTGGTCGTTGGAACCTCATACATTGAACTCAATGGGAGAGTCCATCATTAATATATATATAAATATATATATATTTATATACACATATATATATATATATATATATATATATATATATATATATATATATATATGTATGTTTTTATATTTTTTATTCATATATATATATATATATATATATATATATATACAGTGGTGTTCGAGAAAAGTGACTCACCTTATCCTTTGAATTTAGCTCAACTTTCGTTTCATCAGAGAAGAGAACATTCTTCCAGTCTTCTATGGTGAAATTTTTGTAATAGTGAGCCCATTCAAGTCTCTTGGTTTTGTTGGTTTTGCTTATTAGCGACTTAAACCTCATGTACAAGATTTGTAGCCTTGTTCTAACAAGATTTGTAGCCTTGTTCTGATGGACTGTTGAAGAGGCCAGACTAACACCTTGCTCTTTGCTTAGACTGGCTGCAATTTCTTGGCTACTTTAGTCCTATTCTTCGCAACTTCTCTCATGATTACTCTGCCAGTTCTATCATCAATCTTTTTCTTTTGTCCCCTTGTTTCCTTCCTTGGAGCAAGAGTGGCATCATTATGTGCTCTAAGCACTCGAGGGACAGTTGATTGCGAGGTTATGGCAATTTCTGCAATTTCTCTCGTAGACTTGCCTGCTTTTGAGAGGGCAATAACAGATGCCTTAAATGGTTCTGATGCGTGTTTGTGCCCTTTCATCTGGTTAGTGACTTGAGTGGCTATTTCAAGCTGTTTTTATACTGTATGAGGCTTTCTGGAATATTCTGGTATACACTAGATTTAATTTAAGCTGTTCTAGAATACTCTAGAATATTGTTCTGAGTGTATTGTAGAATAGTTTTCAATATTTTGTCAAAAGTTCTTTAAATTTACCAGTTTAATCATTAGAATGCGATATCTGAGTCACTTTTTTTGCACAAAAGTTTTTTTTTCCTGAATCTCATTTATATCCAAATTTATAATTATCAATAGAATACCTTAGGGTGAATAAACTTTTTTTCTAGGTGGTCAGGAAGGGTCTTTATATTAGTAAAACAAAAAGCAATAGACAAAAAATATTTTAATAAAAAAATCAGGTGAGTCACTTTTTATCAAACAGCACTGTATATATATATATATATATATATATATATATATATATATATATATAAACCAAAAACCAATCATATATAAATATTTACTCCAATCATCCGAAATCAATAATTAAACAAATCCCAAACACAGTAAATGCTAGAATAAATAAACTTTCCTCCAGTAAAACAATTTTAACCAGAATAAATGGGAATACAATAAAGCCCTGTTAAAAAGCAATTTTAAGCAAACACTAAATTACATAGATAAGTCAGTAAGTAAAAAAATCCACTAAACCCAAAAAATAGAAAAAAGGGAAAATTATATGGTTCAACCCACTTTTTGTAACCTCTCCAATATTAACATAGGTAAATACTTCATAAAACTGATAGAAAAACACTTTAGCAAAAATGCATCTCTGAAAAAAAAATATTCAACAAGATGAATCTAAAGATTAGCTATTCTTGCATGAACAATATGGAAAGAATTATTAGCTCACACAACAGTAAAATTTAAAAGACCTTCAGGATAATCTAGGACAAGATCAGGATACAACACGAATGGAAAAATCAACATGCAACTGCAGAACAGGATCAGAGTGCCCAGTTGAAAGAATATGCATGGCAGAGAACACAATATATGAAGCAAAAATTTTCCCCAAAGAAAAGGTTGAAGAGAAAAAGATATACATTGGAATATCAGCGGGAGATTGGAAACACCGACTATACAACCATCGCCAATCCTTCAAAAATAAATGTAAAAAAAAACAAACAGCACTATCAAATCATTATTGGTTTTTGTT